TCTTATAAAACTTGCCGTTATACGCCCATGGGTCGAGGTGATCCATCCGTCTTGCCATTCCTCAGTTATTTTTAGTTCGATTAATTTGATCTGCTCTTAAATTTCTGTGTCACTTGGGATATTTAGAGGCAGGAAGGTGTAGTCCTTTCAGCTTACTGGCATGTTTCTACGTATTGTGGAAATAAGCCCACTTCTAACTATTTCGATATCTAAAGGTCTACAGCCGCTGATGACCTGCATCGCTTCTGTAGACGTTGTTCTGCATGCTTTTGTAAGTAATAATAGAATTGTTCGATGCATTGCATCGACATTTCTTTTAAAATGCCCTTTCGAGGCTTTTTCAAAGAAGGCGATTGAACCGTAGGTCACAATCGGCAAGAACACTGCTTTGTAAAGTGTGGCTATTATTTTGTTTCTAAGTCCCCACTCCTGATGGGCGATTCTTCTTATTTGTAATATAAACATTACGATCTTGTCGCGTACGTGCTTTATGTGGGCTAAAAATGTTAACCTATCGTCAATTATGATACCCAGGTACTTTGTTTGCGCTGCAAATTCAACTCTTATGCCATTTATCTTAATGATAAGTGGTCTGCCCCTATCTAATATTCCCTTGACCAGCAAGGCTTTAGTTTTAGTTTCGGAGACTTTCAATTTATGCAAAGTGCACCAGGCACTCAGGATTTCGATGCCCCTATTGACAATTGTTTCAATTTCCACACGAGAGTTTGCTTTAATTAGGATGGCTTCAAGTTCTTCTGTGTCTATGTTACTTAAATCGTGCAGCAGGGTGTCCATGCACCAGGGGTCCGGAGGATCTGGGGCGTCCACAGTGGTGGCTCTGACCCACTGTGGATCCGTTCTCTCTATTTGAGGGATGTGCCAGGTCTAAAATCCTCTCTCCCCACCTTCTCGTGGTGGACCCTGAGGGCGCACATAGTTGTGCGTCGCTAACGGGGAGAGAGGTACGAGGCGGGAAGTAGCACCTGTGATGTGTGAGGCGATGCCGGCGGGATCTCCGTATTCTGGCAAGGCCCCCCATGCCGGTAAGGCTCACACTGAGTAGGGGTGAAAACCGCTTCACAGGGACGAGGAGAGGTCGTTCCCGCGTGGTGGCCCACTGGGAGTGCTCCCCCCTGTACGCTGGCTTTGCTTCTGCTGGTATCAGCGGGGGGGGGGGGCGGCTGATGTGTGCTCGCACTGCGGAGGTGGTAGTGCCGCGCGGGATCAGGAGCTGGCCCCTTCGGGACTTCGACCAAGTAGTGCGCGGTGAGGTGCGGGTGTCGGAGCCCGCACCTGCTACGGGCGGGTGCCCCCTGTGCGGTATTCCTGGGAGGGTTAAATGCGAAGGACGGACCCCGGGGAACTGGGGTAGGGGGCATGTCTTTCGTTAGGCATGTCCCCCGAGGGTACACATATTCCCGTCCAGCAGCCTGCCCCGCCGCGCACGATGCGCCGGTAAAACAAAAACTATGGACAACTTAATTAAAAACGCAGGAAGCACTGGTGTCGGGTCGGCCGGAAATAGCAGGGGTGACGGCAATGTCACACGGTCATGCACCGTTGTGTTGGAGGGGTTACCATGCCCGGAAGTGGTCGAGGAGGGAGGTGTGACGTCGAGGCCTAGTTCAAGGGCTTCGTCGACACGCGGGCTCTGGGCTGCAGGCCCATCTGCAGCAAGCTCGAGAGGTCGCCGGACCGGAGTTGGCCTTGCTGCTCTCGATCCGGGAGCTGGGTCACGGCTGGGGGTGAACGAGGACGATGGCGTCTCTATGACGTCCATGTCCTCGGTCTCGTGCGCTCGGGCCAAACGACGTGCTGGTGATGACCGGCCGGTGTCGCCGCCTGTAACCCGGGAGGCTGCCAAAAAAGCCCAGGTCAGGGATGCCTCCTCCACTGTAGGCGTCGGCGCACCGACTGCAGCCCTGTGAGACAGGATGCAGTCGGATGGCCAGACGCTCAGGAAGGAGAACGCCAGGCTCCGGCGGGATGTCGAGGGCCTCCGAAAGACGCTCGACGCTGTGCGTGGGGAGATGATGGGCCTCAAGAGGAGGCTTGATGCTCTCCTAGCAGGGCCGTCGTCTCCACCTGCCCGGGGAGGTCGATTCGACACCCACTCGCCGCCTCCGGCGACCACCACGGCGAGGGACGATGGGGCTCTCCTGGCCAGGATTGGGGCTCTGAGTGATGCGAAATTTGCGTCAATCAGAAACGATCTCCTCCTGGGCTTTCGGGATACTCAGCCATGCCCCGCAAAGCCACTGCAGGGTGGATATGCCGGAGCGGTGGGGGGGGGGGGGCAGGCGACCCCTGCGGCTGCGGTTCGTGCCGTGGCTTCCTCTACACCGGCGGTTGGCGGGGAATCCTTCCCCGTCATTATTAAGCCGACAAGGGGGAAGAAGAAGCAGAAGGGGAGGAAGAGGGGGGCCCAGGCCGCCCTACCATCCACCGTTCCGCAGCGGTTGTTGCCTTCTCCCCCCACTAATCCTGCGATGGCACCGGGCAATCACGATGGGGCTGCCTGATCGCAGGTGGTGGGGCGGCGGGCGAGGAGGGCGGCACGCCCATTCTTGGTCCCGCCCGTCGCCTCGGCCCCTGTACAAACGGGCGCGGGTAATGGGAGCGCGAGGGCGCAGAGGGCACCTCCACGCGTGGTGGTCCCTCTTCGTTCGACGGCGGTGACAATCACCGTCCCGGAGGGGAGCAGGGTCACCTACAAGGAGGCCATTAGGAGGGCTCGCCAGGACGTCGACCTGGGAGCCCTCGGGATTGAGGCCCTCTCCTGGAAGAGGGCCGTCACGGGGGGCCTGATTATTCAGGTCCCGGGCGTCGATGGGAGCCCGAAGGCAGACGCCCTGGCCGCCAAAATGACCGCCGCCTTGGGAGGCCTGGAGGTTGGGGTGGCTAGGCCCGTCAAAAAGGCGGAATTCCGCTTGACGGGGCTGGACATATCCGTGAGCCCCCAGGAGGTAGTTGCGGCGGTTGCGAAAGCCGGGGGCTGCACCGCCGAGTCTGTGAGGGTGGGGGAGCTGAAGGCCCCGCCCAATGGACTCGACACCATTTGGGTGCAGTGCCCAGCCGTGGCGGCCTTGGCCATCGAAAAGGCCAAGCGAATTAGGGTGGGGTGGTCCCTCGCCCAGGTGATGGTGCTGGCAGCCCGCCCGCTGCAGTGTTTCCGCTGTCTTGTCGTAGGCCATATGCGGCAGCGGTGCACTGCGGCGATTGACCGGAGCGGGCACTGTTACCGGTGTGGGAGCTCCACCCACAGGGACGCCGAATGCCGGGAGGCCCCGCACTGCGCGGTGTGCGCCGAGTTGGGCCTGCCTGCGGGACATAAAGCAGGGAGCAAGGCGTGCTTCCCGCCGCTAAAGAAAAAGAAGGGCCGAAGGGAGGTGGCAGGTGTGGCGCCACCCTTTGCGGCAGCTCGGGGAGGTGGAGGGGATGCTACACTCCCGTCTACCTCCTCTGTGCCAGCTGCGATGGAGGTGGAGGCCGTGGCGTCAGGGGAGGTGGTTTCCCTCCCCCTACTCACGCAGCCGTCTGAGGGAGGTCCTGTGATGGCCTAGAAATGGCGCACAGGGCTTCCCTTGGGGTCTTGCAGGCCAACCTGAACCACTGCCGCCGGGCACAGGACCTTATGGTCCACTGCCTGGCGGAGTGGCGGGTTGATCTAGCGGTGGCCACGGAGCCGTACCAAGTCCCCGACCAGACACATTGTTTCGGGGACGAGGACGGCCTCGTGGCAATGTGGTACCGTCGCCGTTCGGCGACTGTTCCCCTCTGCACCGTGGTCGAACGGAGCAGAGGGATGGTTTTGGTAAAATGGGGAAGGTTCCTAATCGCAGGAAGCTACAATTCACCCAATTGTAGTGCTGCCAAACTCGGGAGGTCTTTGGACCGGCTGAAGGCTATGTTAGCTCCCTATATGGCCGACCCAGTGCTGGTCCTCGGGGACCTCAATGCGAGGTCCACCGCGTGGAGTAACCCGAGGACCGGCTCCCGAGGCGGAGCGCTGCAGGATTGGGCGGATGGGATGGAGCTCCGGTTATTAAACCGGGGCTCCGTACCAACGTGCGTGAGATGAAACGGCTGGTCCATCGTGGACGTATCGTTTGCGTCAGCCGCCGCCTCACGCTGGGTGTCTAACTGGCGGGTCTGGGAGAGTGAAACGTTGTCGGACCACAGCTACGTCCTTATGGACGTGGCTGTGGTCTCGGACCCTCCAGCGGACGCCCCCCTCCGAAGTAGCATCCCTTCAGCGCCAAGATGGGCGCTGAAGCGACTAGACGAGGATCTACTGAGGGCCGTGATTATCGGCTCCGCCTGGCCTCCGGCCAGGGAGCGAGGGGCAGAAGAGGGGGTTTTGTGGATCCGGGACACGTTGCAAATGATTTGAGACGTAGCTATGCCCCGGATCCGCGAGCAGCCCCCGAGGAAGTCTGCGTACTGGTGAACGGGCGAGGTTGCCGACCTCAGAAGAACGGCCAGCCGCGCCCGTCGCCAGTATACCCGTGCTCGGCGCCGCGACTTCTTAGGCGGTGACCCGGAAAGGAGAGTCGCCGAACTGTACGGGGTGTACAGGTCGGCGGCGGTGGCCCTCAAGCGCGCGATAGCCGCAGCCAAGGCCAGAGCGTGGGACGAGCTCCTGCTCACCCTTCGTGACGATCCGTGGGGGCGCCCATACAGGGTGGTGCTGGGGAAGCTCCGCCCTTGGGCGTCCACTGTCACGGAGATGTTAGATCCGGAATTCCTGGGGCGCGTGATTGATACCCTCCTTCCCCTCAACGATGGGGGAGAGGGTGCGTTGGAACGCGCCCCGAGTCCGACTATTGAATGGTCGGATGAATTCCGGGTCACGGACTCTGAGCTGTCCCGGCCCGGATGGAGTACCCGGTAGCCTGCTGGCTCTGGCCTTGGGAGTCCTTGGCCCGGCGTACAGGAGCGTCTTGGGCGCTAATCTGCGCCGGGGAACCTTCCCCAGTGTGTAAAAGAAAGCGTGCCTGGTTCTCCTCCAGAAAGGAGGAAAACCCGCAAAGTCTCCCTCTGCGTACCGGCCGGTGTATCTGCTTGATGAGGCGGGCAAGCTTTTTGAACGAATCATAGCTGCCCGACTCCTCGAGCACCTGTCGCGCGGTGGTCCCGACCTCAGCGACAGCTAGTACGGATTCCGGAGAGATCGCTCAACGATGGACGCGTTGGAGCGTTTGCGCCTCCTCCGGGAAAGGGCTGTCGCTCTGGGCCGGATGTTGATTGCTGTGTCGTTAGACATATCCAACGCCTTCAACACCCTGCCCTGGAGGGAGATAGCGGTGGCGCTGGATCATTTCCAGGTGCTCCCCTATCTCCTGGAGGTGGTTTGGGACTATCTCCGCGGCAGGGAGGTAGTATTTACCGGCCGGTACCAGGTTGTGCGCACGAGGGAGACGCACCGCGGGGTTCCGCAGGGGTCGATCCTCGGACCGCTTCTGTGGAACCTTGCGTATGACGCGGTGATGCGGGTTGTTCTTCCCCCGGGCGCGGATGTCATCTGCTATGACACCCTGTTATATGCCAAGGGGGAAGACTGGGGGAGGACCAGGCACCTTGCTGAGTCCGCCCTAGATCTGGCTTTACGGATTGTCTCCGGCGCGGCAGCCGCCCTGCGATCGGGACCTCCGGATTCGCGTCGTGGATACCTTCGTCGACGTCAGGCCCTCCATGAAGTAACTGGGCCTGATCGTCGAAGGCCGCTGGCGCATTAAGGAACACTTTGACCTCCTGACCCCAGAATGAAGGGGACAGCGGCCGCGTTAGCGCTGTTGCTGCCCAATATCGGGGGGCCAGAGTTGAGGGGCCCCCGTGTGGCATCGCTCGCTCGAGGGCAGCCGGCGCAACTAGGCACTCTTTGAAAGAGTGCGGCGCCGGTTTGCCCTGCGGGTCATACGGAGATGCCGTACCATCTCTGCCGAGGCGGCGGGCCTCCTGGCTATGATTCCGCCCTTCCATCTGGCGGCGGTGGAGCGGGCGGCGATGATCACGATCACCTGCTCCACCCGCCGCCCTCCGGGGGTGGAACTCGCGGCTGAAGAGGTACATGAGGTCGAGTGCCAGAAGCGGATTGTCCGGGACATCCTGCCCATATTTGATATATAGTGCAGGATGCGGGGAAGGTTGACCTTCCGCTTCAAGCAGGTGCTCTCCGGGCATGGATGCTTTGGAGAATACCTGCACCGGATGGGACGGGAGCCGATACCGCAGTGTCACCACTGCAGCGAGGAGGTTGACACGGCGTGGCACACACTCGAGGAGTGTCCGGCATGGGCCGCGCCACGCCGTGCCCTAAGAGTCGCAGTGGGTGGGTGGAACCTTTCACTCGCGGCCATGGTCGACCACATGGCCTCGAGCAAGAGGTCGTCGAAAGCGGCGGCCACCTTTTGCGATGAGGTAATGTCGCAGAAGGAGGCCGACGAGCGAGCCCGGGAAAGAGACCCGGGCTCGGCAAGGAGGACATGGGCGCGGGGACGTTCCTCGCGCCGGCGTACCACACTGCGTGGGGGTATGAATAGTGGGGGGCCGCGAGGGGCGCCCCCGCGACGACAGGTGCCTCGCATGAAGGCGGCGAATGTGAGGGGCCGGGGCTTGAGCTGACCCTGGCCCCCTGAGGGGATATAATTCTCCTCGGGACGGGCCGAGGTTGTGTGGTCGGGAAGAGGATCGCTACGTATCTCTTGTTTGTGGTTCTGACACCGTTTTTGAGGGAGATGAGCGCATCTTCCGCGGATCTTCGTTTCTTGAAGCCAAACTGCTTCGGATGTTCTAGGCCCCTGTTTTGATAGTTCAGGTCTATTCTAGTTACTATAATTCTCTCAAAAATTTTTCCTATTGTAGAGAGCAGAGCAATAGGGCGATAAGACCCTATATTCGCTCTGTCTCTGTCTTTCTGTTTTAGTATTATTTTTAAAAGTGTTGTCTTCCATACTTCAGGGAAGGTTGCATTTGTAAAACATTTGTTATATAATCGCTTCATGGCTTCTTGGTTTTCCACAAAAAGTTTTTTGATGATTTCTATTTTTATCTTATCAAGACCAGGAGCCTTTCCGTTTTTGGATATCCGAATTGCCCTGTCAATTTCTTCAGTTGTGACTTCTGGCTCTATATTTAAATTTCTATAGCTTTGGACAGATCGCCTTAATTCCCTATGGGCATCCGACTCAGGGTCGTTATCGGTTTGTGGAACCAGTTTCTTGAGAATAGCGTCCACGGTGTCTCTCCAGGACATAGTGGGGCTATTGTCAGTTAGCCTGATTAAGGTGAGAGCTTCATTAGCATTTATTTTGTCTCTTAGGATCTTGTAGACAATTCCCCACGGGTTTGAATTTCCCTCAGTATGTACAACATTTTTCCAAGCGTTAAGCTTTTGCTGCCTTATTCTTTTTGTGTACGTGTTGCGTGCCGTTCTGTAGCATTCCCTTAGATGCTCTAGATCATTTTGTAAGTGCATACGCCGGGCTCTTGCAAGCTGTCTCTTCCTGCTGCTTACCAGTCTCTTTAGGCCAGCTAATTCTTCGTTCCACCAGGGAACTTTATTTAATCTATTTTTAGTCTTAGTGATCGAGGTGTCGCTTATATCTTGAACAACCTTTGTAAACTTTTTGGCCGCTCTTTCTGTGGACAAGGTATCAATTGTCCGTAAGAAGGTCTCGTTTATGTGACTGCTTATTTGTGACTCGAAGGTATCCCAATTTGCCTTTCGGATATTATATCCGATATCTAGGGAATGCGGTCTTGGTGCCTCATTTGGGTTATTTAGAATAATCGATATAAGATTATGGTCGCTTGCATTGCAGTCTGTCGAGACGTTCCAGCTTATGTCAAAATTTAGCAAGTTACTTGTTACGAGCGTGATGTCTATGTTCGTTTGGGTCCTACTTGTGAAAAAGGTAGGAGCTTGATTTGCCTCGTTAAGAACATGAAGGTTGTTCTCGCCAATGAAATCCTCCACAGCTCTCCCCCGGTCGTCGGTGAATCTAGAAAACCAAAGAATTGAGTGGGCGTTGCTATCCATCGTTATGATGACTTTCTTATTTGGGATCTTGAGTAAGATCCTCTGTATGTCTCTTAAAAAAGGTTCTATGTCAAGTGAGGCCTGACAGTAGACGTTTATTATATAGATCTCTATTTGGCTGTTTTTAATTTGAAACGTTAAAATGTGCTGAGACTGCACGAGGTCTATTTGGAAAATGTCCAGATTTTTATTGGCTATTACAGCGGCAACCCAGGGGGGATCTGCATTGGGTTGTAACATGGTCACATTACTCGAGTACCCTTTAACTTTATTTTTATACTGGTAAGGTTCCTGTATGCATAGTATGTCAATGTTGTCAGTGACAACTTTGTTCAGCAGGTTAGCGGCAGCTGCCGCCGATCGTTGCGCATTGATCTGAGCGATCTTTAGACCCAGCATACTTTAGATCTGGAGAGCTCCACATGTTTTAAGTAGATTGGACAGCTCTTGTCCTTTACGAGGTGGTCGGTCTTATCCCGCCTCGCGCGCACGCAGTTTATGCACTGCGGCGTCTTTTTGCCTTTGCATTTATCTTTCATGTGGTCTTTGGAACCACATAATTCGCACAGTTGGTCCGGAATTGTGCATTGTTTCGCTATGTGGCCGTAGCCATGGCACTTAAAGCACCTCGTAATATTGAGGAACTCTCGCAGTCTGTAAGTGCTCCACATCATGTACACTTTTCCTTTCTGGAGAAGGCTTTTGTAGTCCGTTGGTGGGATCTCAACGATCCAGTTTACTTTCTCCTCTTTGGACTTAAAGCAATGTCGGAAGGTGATGTCCTTTTCCAGTTGCTTCGCTTGGCTCTCTTCTAAGTGTGGGAAATTTTTGGTCACAAGATCCTGTTTGAGATCTTCTGCCGTGTGTTCTTTTTCCACGTCATATATAATGACACACGGGTTCTGCTTTTTTGGCTCTTCTATTTTTAAGCCAGCCTTTTGCAGGGTTGTTCCCTTTATGATCTCGACGTCGTCTTTTCCTTCAACCTCGACAATTACGCCTTTGTTTCTCATTTGTCTGATGCTGCGTATACGGAGTTT